CTTTTCCGGCCATGCTGAGGCCGCGTCCCACATACAGCAACTAGAAGGACATGCAGCTATGACATACAACTATCTACTGGGGCTTTGGGGGGAAAAGGGGGGAAAAAAAGGAGGAGGATTGGCAATAGATGTTGCTCAGGGCCGGTCTTCCTCAGCAAAAAGAGGAGGATTGGCATGGATGTTAGCTCAGCGCTGATCTTCCTAAAAAAAAAAAAAAAAAAGAAGATTAGAGTGAAGATAAACAAATTAGACAACAGAAAAACAACAGAGAAAAATTAATGAAACCAAAAGCAAGTTCTTTAAAATAACAAAATTGACAAACCTTTAGTTAGACTGAAAGAGGAAAAAGAGAAGATAGAAATAACTGAAATACGAAATGAAAGTGATGACATTACTACGAACATTATAGAAATAAAAAGGATTATAAAAGAATATGATGAACAATTGTAGACCAACAAACTAGATAACCTAGATGAAAGAGACGAATTGCTAGAAACTCATAAATGATCAAAACTGACTCCAAAAAAACCCAGAAAACCTGAACACACCTATAACACGTAAAAAGATTGAATGAGTAATCAAAAATCTTCCAGCCAAGTCTAAGACCAGATGGCTTCACTGGTAAATTCTACCAAACATTTAAGGAATTGATGCCAACCCTTCTCAAACTCTTGCACAAAACACAAGAGAACGGAACACTTCCTAACTCACTCTCAGAGGCCAGCATGACCCTGATACAAAAGCCAGACCAAGTATCAGAAGAAAAGAAAACTGCAGGTCAGTATCTCCCATGAACACCGGTGCAAAAACACTCAAAATACTAGCAAACTGGGGGCCAGCCCAGTGACATAGTGGTTAAGTTCGTGCACTCCGCTTCGGCAGCCCGAGGTTCGCAGGCCTGGAACCGAGGCACAGACCTACACACCACTTACCAAGCCATGCTGTGGCAGGCACCTCACATATAAAGTGGAGGAAGATAGGCACCAATGTTAGCCTAGGGCCAATCTTCCTCAGCAAAAAAAGGAGGATTGGCAACAGATGTTAGCTCAGCGCTAATCTTCCTCACAAAAAAAAAAAAAAAACTAGCAAACTGAATCCAGCAGCATATTAAAAGGATTATACACTATGACTTAGTGGGATTTATCCTAGGAATGTAAGGATGATTCAACATACGAAAATCAATGTAATATACCACATCAATAGAATAAAGGGAAAAAAATACATAATCATCTTAATAGGTGCAGAAAAGCATTTGACAAAATCCAACAACCTTTCATGATAAAAACACTGAGCAAACTAGGAATAGAAGGGAATTTCCTCAATATGAATAAGGGCATTTATGAAAAAATGAAAGCTAACATCATACTCAATGGTGAAAGACTAAAAGCTTTCCCTCTAAGATTAGGAACAAGACAGGAATGCCCACTTTCACCACTGCTATTCAACATCATACTGGAGGTTTCAGTCAGAGCAGCAGGGAAGAAAAATAAATAAAATGCACCTAAAATGGAAAGGAAGAGGGGCCGGCCCCGTGGCTTGGTGGTTGAGCGAGCGCGCTCCACTGCTGGCGACCCGGGTTCGGATCCCGGGCTCGCACCGACGTGCTGCTTCTCCGGCCATGCTGAGGCCGCGTCCCACATGCAGCGACTAGAAGGATGTGCAGCTATGATGTACAACTATCTACTGGGGCTTTGGGGGGAAAAATAAATAAATAAAATCTTTAAAAAAAAAAAAAATGGAAAGGAAGAGTAAAACTACCTTTAATTGCAGATGATATGATCTTATAAATAATCTACAAAAGAATCTATTAAGAGCTAATAAACTCAGCAAAGTTGTAGGATACAAGATTAACAAGCAAAATTCAGTTGTATTTCTACACAATAGCAGTGAACAATCTGAAAAGGAAATTAAGAAAATTCCATTTATAATCACATCAAAAAAATAAAATACTTTGGAATAAATGTAACTAAGGAAGTAAAAGACTTGTACGCTGAAAACTACAGAACATCGCTAAAAGAAATTAAAGAAGACCTAAATAAATAGAAAGACATTCCATGTTCATGGATTGGAAGACTTAATATTGTTACGATGACAATACTCCCCCAAATGAATCTACAGATTCAATGAAAGCCCTACCAAAATTCCAATGACACGTTTTTGTGGGTGGAAAAGTAGATTCTAAAATTCATATGGAAATGCAAGGGACCCTAAATAACAATTTTGAAAAAGGTGAAGAACTCATACTTCCCAATTTCAAAACTTACTACAAAGCTATAGTAATCAAAACAGTATGGTACTCTCAGAAGGACAGACATATAGATGAATGCAACAGAATTGAGAGTCCAAAAATTAACCCCCCACATCTATGTAAGAGTTGACTGATTTTTGACAAGGATGCCAAGAGCATTCATTGAGGATAGTCTCTCCCACAAATGGTACTGGGAAAACTAAATATTCACATGCAAAAGAATGAAGCTGGATCCCCACCACAAACCATATACAAAAATTAACTCAAAAGGAAAAAGAGAACCCTCGTCCACTGCTGGTGGGAACGTAAATTGGTGCAGCCACTAAGGAAAACAATATGGAGATTCCTCAAAAAATTAAAACTGGGGGGCTGGCCCGGTGTCGCAAGCAATTAAGTGTGCATGCTCCGCTGCAGCGGCCCGGGGGTTTGCCGGTTCGGACCCCAGGCGTGCACTGACGCACTGCTTGGCAAGCCATGCTGTGGCGGCATCCCATATAAAGTGGAGGAAGATGGGCACGGTTGTTAGTACAGGGCCAGTCTTCCTCAGCAAAAAGAGGAGGATTGGCAGATGTTAGCACAGGGCTGATCTTCCTCACAAAAAAAAAAAATTAAAACCGGAACTACCATATGATCCAGCAATTCCACGTCTGGGTATTTATCCAAAGAACATGAAAACACTAATTCAAAAGGACATATGTACCCCTATGTTCACTGCAGTATTATTCACAATAGCCAAGACTTGGAAACAACCTAAGTGCCCACCGACAGATGAACAGGTAAAGAAGAAGTTGTGTATATACACAATGGAATACAACTGTCATAAAAAAGATGAAATCTTGCCATTTGCAACAACATGGATGGACTTCGAGGGTATTATGCTAAGCAAAATAAGGCAGATGGAGAAAGCCAAATACTGTACGATTTCACTCATATGTGGAAGATAAACAAACACATAGATACGGAGAACAGATTGGTGGTTACCAGAAGGGAAGGGGGTGGGGGGAGGGCGAAAGGGGTAAAGGGGGACATTTGTAAGATAACAAATTGCAACTAGACTTTTAGTGGTGACCACGATGTAGCCTACACAGAATATAGCACAGAAATATAATGATGTACATCTGATATTCATATAATGGTATAAACCAATGTTATCTCAAAAAAAAAAGTAAATAGATAAACTTAAAAAAAAATCAACTCAAAATGGATCAAAGGCTTAAATATAAGACATAAGTCTTAGAAGAAAACACAGAATAAATCTTCATGATCTGAGTTTTGGAAATAGATTCTTAGATATAACACCAAAAGCACAAGCAACAAAAGAAAAAATAAATTGGACTTCATCAAAATTTAAAATTTGGAGGCATTAAGACACTATGAAGAAAGTGAAAAGACAACGTATGGAATGGGAGAAAATACTTGCAAATTATATATCTGATAAGGGTCTCGTATCCAGAATACATAAAGAGCTCCTACTTCTCCACAGAAAGACAAAAACAAAAGTTTTTTTAAAAACTGGGCAAAGGATTTGAATGGACATTTCTACAAAGAAAGTATACAAATGGCTAATAAGCACATGAAAAGATGCTCAATATCATTGGTCATTAGGTTTCCCTAATGACAAATCAAAATCACAATGTGAAACAAAAAAACCCACACACGATGTGATACCACTTTACACTCACTAGGATGGCTATGATCAAAAAGACAAAAAACAAAAATGTTAGCAAGGATGTAGAGAAATTGCTGATGGAGATATAAATGGTGTCCCTGCTCTGGAAAACAGTTTGGCAGTTCCCCAAAAAAGTTACACATGGAATTACCATATGACTCAGCAATTCCACTCCTAGGTATATATCCAAAGGAACTGAAAATAAGTATTCAAACAAGTATTTTACACAAATGTTCCTTAGCTCAGTATCTACAAGTCAAAAGGTGGAAACCACTCAAATGTCCATGAATGGATGAATCTATAAACAAAATATGGTAGATGGATCAAATGGAATGATCTGGATCCATCTAATGGACTATTATTCAGCCATAAAAAGTGAAGTACCAACACATGCTAAATATACATGAACCTCAAAAATTATACTAAATGAAAGAAGCCAGATATAAAAGGTCACATATTGTATGATTCCATTGATATGAAATATCCAGAATAGGTAAATCCATAGAGACAGAAAGCAGATTAGTTGTTGCCAGGGGTTGAGCGAGGGGAGAATGGGGATGCTAGCTTAATGAACACGCAGTCTCCTTTGGGGGAGACGAAAATGTTTTGGAACTAGATAAAAGTGATAGTTGTGCAACACTGTAAATGTGCTAAACGCCACTAAGTCGTACACTTTAAAATGGTTAATTTTAAGAAAAAAAGAGAGAGAATGAAAAAAGGTTCCAAAGTGCCTATATCCACAGCACAGCCAAGGGTAGAACAAAGTCTTGAAGCAGCGGAAAAGCCAAGTGGATCAGAGTTAATAAGTTCCCTTAGGAGACACTCACTAGTCCTCCTCTTACCATTTCCTACTCACGCTACTTCTCAGATCCACTTTGACCCATATATACCTTTTCTCACATAAAAACAAACTGGTATCACGCTCTTCTATCTCCTCTCCCCACTCAAGACCTCGAGGATAAGTCAACACATGTTGCTCTTTCCCCTGGAACTGACTCTGAGACATTACCACGTGCTTTAGAAACACGAATGACAATGTATTTTAAGTGCAAACCATGACGTTCAAAAGGAATGCTTCTTTACCTTTGCCAGTTCTCTTCTTAGCTCTTCCTGCTCCTCCTCTGAGAGGGTCTCTGGGGCACCAATGGCGGCAGCAACATCTTCTCCTTCCTCGGGAACTGGGTCTGTTCTCAGCAGATCTTGTCGGGAATTAAAAAAAAAGAAAAAAGTCCGTAAGGTATGAAAGCTAAAAGTAAAATTTCCCTTTAGGGTCCTCCACTGCCCTGGCCAGAATAAAGCCAATTAGTTTAGATACACACATCACCTCTCTGCACCTTCAAATGACCTGACTCTCCCAGTAAAGCAAAAAAGAAAAGTCTGAGCTAAGCCAGCTCAGATGGCCTAGTGGTCCAAGTTCAGCGCGCTCTGCTTCGGGCCCAGGTTCAGTTCCCAGGCGCAGAACCACACCACTCGTCTGTCAGTAGCCACGCTGTGGCGGTGACTCACATAGAAGAACTAGAAGAATTTACAACCATACACAACTATGTACTCGGAGGGGTGGAGAGATGGGGGGTTGGCGGAAGGAGGAAGATTGGCAACAGATGTTAGCTTAGGGCGAATCTTGCCCTCAAAAAAAAAAAAAAAAAAAAAAAGAATTGCATTTAAAAAAAGAACATGAGCTAACCACGAAAAACCACCAACTTTGACTCTGCCAAAAGACGAATTTAGAAAATACGACATTCGCTCAACTTCTGTTCATTTCCTCAGTCACAATATCGTTACTGCAGAGCAGAAGAGTTAAGAGGCTAAGAACGGGATCTGGCCAAGGCTTTATATGCTCAACTAGTACATCAGCATGATTAGTAACTCACACTCACCAAGGGAGGGAGTGTGTAAATGTCTTCAGAGCTTCCTCTGTTCATCAAATCCAACTCTTAACAACCTCGGTGAAGAAGTGCTAACCAACTCAATGCCTAAAGAAATGTTACTCCATTTCTTTCCATTAGTTAGTAGAGGTAGGAAACACCTTCTTGTAGCTTTTTAAAAATATACATCTCATCCAGATATGCTTTAAAAAGTCCTAATGTATATATTCAGAGAAATAACCAACACCCACACAGAGGCTTTCCACATTATTTAAGACCGATGCTGCTGCACCAGTCCCCTGGAACAGAGCCAGTACTACCAATCCATCACGATGAACTCGCTATTTCTAGAGTGGCAGGAAGGCAGCTGCTTCTCAGCAACTCTCCCCTCTCTTCTGCCCAACCAACCACGCACAAGGCTGGGGTGAGGCGAGCGAGGCCCCCAAACTTTGGGTGCAAAATTTAAGGGGGCACCAAAAAACTCTATATAACTGATTTTAATGCAATATTTTTTGAAAATCAAAATTAATTCAAAGAATTCATGAACAAAATACCAAAATTTTAAACAGACAAGCTCAGTACCGCTGATTTTCCTCTTGCCTCAGGCTCCAAAACGGCTTTGCACAGCACTGTTCCTGCGCTCGTCTTTATTTAAAATTTTAGTATTTTGGTCATCATGGGTTTAATTTTTTTTAAATACTGCATTAGCATAGTTATCTTGATTAGACAGTGTTGGTGCCCCTTAAATTTTACACCTGAGGCAAGTGCTTACCGGCCTCACTGGCTTTACTAGTCACAGTTCTGCCCATCCATTCCCACGTCACAGGTTTAGGTTTCCACGGCTCCTCTGGCAACAGATTTTTTGCGTAGGGGACCAGGGGAAGGTCTCCTCCTCTTCCTGCTCTTCGCTTCTTTCTGCCAGTGAGCATTACAGAGCTCGCAGTTGTTCCCCACCACCCCCACGTCCATTTCTGAGAAGTGCCTGTTCAGCCATAGCAGCAAGGTGGCATGCTGCCCAAAGCAAGATGCCAAGCAGCAGAGGACGGACAGAGAGGAAGAAGGAAGAATAACCACGCCATTCAACAAGCAGCCAGCGCCATGGCAAACATCCGAGAAGCATAGGAATCAATGACATGACGTGTACATACATTGTGTGAAAGGTACAAAGACACTTACCACACAGTGTACTGTATATTAACTGCATAATGGTAGTTAATAATTATAATAACAATAATCACCAGCATAACAGTACCCAACAATGCCTACCTGAAAGGTATTTACAGAATTGTTAAAGGCATAAAAGTAAAACAAAACAATTCAAACCCACCAGCTGGAGTGGCAAACAGAACATGATTAAGCCCTCTTATGCAGAGACAATACGTGACAGGCACAATCAGGAGGCAGTAAAGCTCGATAAATAATTGCTTCTGTAGGTTCTCCTCTAAAATATCCTTGAACAGACTACCCAAGTAATATTTCTATGATAGCAATCTGATCATGTCACTCCCCAGCTTAAACGCCTTTAGTGGTTCTCTGTTGTTTTCAAGATAAAACTCAACCCCATAGTTGAGCACACAGGCCCTACTGGACCCATGCCCTGCTATGTGGCATTGGAACCTCTGACCCCAACTCCAGCCAAATCAAACTGTGGACCAGGTGCTGTACTATGTACTGTCAGAAACCACCGTGGAGGGTCCACGTGTGCTTGCAAATTTATCCCCCATACCAAACCATGTGATGAAGGAGTAGGAGATGGAGGATGGGAGATGAGCATACAGGTAACAATCAGATAAGGCAATGTAGTAAGAACCATACAGAGTTAACTATAAACATTCTTCATTTTATTTTTAATGCTTTGCTCTGACTCTCAAGTTCTCCAACTAGAACAGGACCCCCCCAAAAAAAACAACAAAACCCAGGTGCTAAACCATGCCTTAAATAATAAAGGCTCATGCTTTTTAATATACACTATTTTGCAAACCTACTTAAGGGGAAAAATGCACTGATTACTAATAACGCTTTAATGCAGAGCTGCCCAATTCCAAAAAGAATCTAAGGGGATTCTGATACTATTCAAGTATTCAGTTAGGCTAACAGGGAAAATAAACGTCTCAGAAAACAGGGCCACACGGTTGTCCACAGGGGGTTTCAGGACCTCTAAGATGACCTTGACATTTTAAGAAACTAAGCAAGTTAGTCATTACATGTTCTGCTTTTTCCATATTAGCCTGTAGGTGGCAGCAAATTATCAACATTAAAATTTAAAGGTGTGGTTTGTTTTAGGATAATCAACTGGGGAAAAAATATTGAAATCACCAGCAAAACATAACAGTCATGACTTAGGAAAAGTATTAATAACCACAACCACCACCATAGAGTGCATTCTATTTATAACCTCATCTGAGCTAAGTGGTCCAGACACATTACAACACTTAACGTGGAAGACTTCTGTAAGGCAGGGATCACCATTACCATTCAGAGACGAGGAAACCAAAGCTTACGAAAGTTAAGCAGTTTGCCCATGGTAACACACCTGAATACATGGTGGAATTATTAGCATTTTGAGCCCAGACAGTTTGATTTGAAAGCATATGCTTCAAATCACTGATTTCCAAATAAAGATGAGAGTAGGGGGCTGAAGGTCAGACTTGGGAGATATCTAGAAGTAATAATAAATAAGACTCTGCACAAAGTAAAAGAATCTGGGGAGACTAGATCAAAAGCAGTTTTCTCATCATTTCCAACCGCATCGTTTCCCCAAACCTAGGAATTCAAATTTTGCCTTACATGTTTTTCTAGATATTATCCCATTTCCTATATATTCATAAGAGCGTGGTATTTATTGTGGAGGTAGAGTCTGGCATTTGGGAGAAAAGATATTAATTCCTCATTCACAACATGAAAGTTGGGAAATAGGAACATTTTAAAGTATAGATTACTTAAAACTATAAATAATCCAAAAAATTATTTGATCATTAATTTTAATGTTCCCCCTCAGAATCTGATGGAAAGCTGTTTTTAACAGATGAAGAAGGGGGAGAAAACATGACAAATATTTACTGAGGTCTGTTAATACACCAGCCACTGTGAGGTGAGATTTACATGTTATCACACACACAAAAAACCTTACATCCAATACGTGACGAGAAAAGTAGTTACCTACTTCCATTAGGAAACTGAGGCCCTCTGAGGTTCCGTAATTTGCCCAGAGCACAGAGATTAAAACACAGGTCTTTCTGACTCTAAACTGTTGCTCCTTCATATACACTTCTCTTAGAGAAATTCCAAAGAGCAGGGAACACACAGGGCAAGTCACAGAAGGGAGGATGGACGCAGAGGGTCACGGCTCTCTCCACAGGGACTTTTCACTTCACTGAGGGCATGGGAACACAGCAGGGGCCTGGAATGAAAGTCACAGGTACCACAACAGAGCCCAAGGGACTGAAAATTGGTGATAATTTGTTCTATCAGGTTATCCACATTTTAGCCACTTCCTTCTATCTTTTAGCTGTTGAAGCAGTTGTCCGCTTGTCTTCAATTCCACACATGAGAGCCCCTGCAGAGTTTTAAGGGTGGGGGGAGTCTGCAGCCCACAGACTGGTAAACTGTTGGGTGCCAAGTGAGAGCCCCACTGCCGAGGGAGCGATGGAGAAGACGGGCGGAGACCAGGAGAGTCATGCCCCAGCAATCCTAGGACTCAATTTTTTCTCTTACATTTTACATCTTGGAACTCGATATGCATTGTACGACCAATCAGCTAAGCAGTCCCTGTGGCATAGCTGTTTATCACCTGCAACCAGGCTTCAAAATCTGCAAAACGGGTGTCAATGGCTTAGAAAATCACAGACGTTTTGTGAGAGCAAAATAAATAAAACATAGATTATTCCTAGTTGAAAAGCAGTTCAAGTAAGTTAGACAATGCATGTGACGATGTTTCAGGAAAATGTTAACTTATTTTACTTTAAAAGGTATGCACAGGAGTGTTATGGTCAACGTATATGTCTGAATAAATCTAAAAGGATGTCAATAAGCAGAAAATTAAAATTGGAAGTGACAATACAGCATTGTTTGTTAGTTTGACTTGCAGTAATTTTTTTCCCTTAATGAAACATAAAATAATGGTACATCTTACAATCTGTGGTGTCTTAGATGTGGTGAAATATGATACTTCAGACTTCAGAGAACTCGTTAGCTATTTGAAGAAAATGAAGTTCTTAGGTTTTAGTGGAAATGTGTGTGATGAGCGAGTATGGGGGGGAAGAACGAGGAAGAATGGGAAAAAGACTTCCGTCTTGGACGAGTCTCCAGCTCTAGACAATAACGCCCTGATGTTA